TGCACTGTAGTGGGTTGAGTTCACTACAGCTCTCTGTCACACTGCACTGAAGATGCAAAGGATCAAGTAAAGGTTTATTCCATGCTGAATAGAGAAGAAAAGAAGCACAGCGTTTCGGCTGTGGAGCCTTCTTTGTGTGTACAGCAGCACAGACAGAGGACTGTCCACAGAGTGAGCACCATGTTTTCTCCAGGCACAGCCCACATGAAAGGGCTTTTAAAACCAGGAACAGGAGGCATTCTACCAAATGAGCAAGACCACCTGCTTGTGACATTGCTTTCATATCCACCACCCTAACATTTTAATAGTTGATTGAGCTGCACTTCGTTTCTTATACTAAGTCTTAATGGAGTTGTGCGTCGCAAATGGAATCGGCATCTCCAGGCATAAACCCTTTTCTTGGTTTCTGTTTGTCACTTATTTCTATACAGTACTTAATTCTACTTTTTATCCAGTTTCAAAAAGTGGTCTGCGTGAGAAAAACCCAGTACCATCAATGCTTGGTCTGTGTGCAAGGCTGTGGCTCTGTTCACCAGCACCCCATCAAAATTTCACCAGGACCTTTCTTGGCCATAACTAAAAAAAACAGATACAGCAATTAAATGCTTAAGACCTCAGACGTTGATGGAAAGCTTTAAGAACCGAATAAATAGTATGATAACCCATAATTCATTTCATATAAGGACGAAGGGGTTGGATCAGTTAAGGATGAACTGAAACGCTATTTTTATATTTTGGGGTTAGAAAGAATCGGCAGTGATGAGTGCATCTCAAACCACAGAAAAAGTAAAAAATTACACAGTAACTTGTAAAACCTCCAATTGACATCACAAAGCAGACGAGCTCTCCAGGTCTGCGCAGCGCCATGTTGTCGGCAGTGTCTGTGGTTCAGAACGAGACGTAAACCTCTGTTGGCGTGTTGCGGCCCTATGACATTGTTAACAAGCAGGCCTGTGAAGACAGCTCTTTTAATACAATACAAGTATTGCTCACAACTTCCAGACTGTTTCGCGGCAAATACTGCTCATTATTAACTCTGCATGCATTCCGCGGTGAAATGTCTGCTGAACAATCTGCACTTTAATACGCCTGTACTTACTTACTGCTTGTACATCACATCACATGAGTCAGTCCAGTGACTGGTGAGCAGGAAGGCCAGAATCACGTCACAATCCATGAGAGCTGGAATGCCAGTTTGTGACAACATGGCGACTTACAGTACTTTTACAAAGTTCACGATTTTGTGCTTAGTTCGAAATTTGTAATTTTTTCCTATAAGGTCAATGAATTTATTTTGTTACTGAGATTGAATAACTGGTCTGAGAAATTGGGACTGCCGTTCCCCCTTATACTAACGTCCTGATGGGATTGATGGCCCAAGCAGCCTTATTGATTGTAACTGTTCTCGTGTTCTTACTGCCTAATGACCAGGCTCAGATTTAAAACTGGAGGGCGAATGAATAGAGCAGGAACAAAGATCTCTTCTGCACCAGCGTGCCGGGCCTGTCTCTTCCATGGCCTGTGGCCCGGTTTCAGCTCAGAAGGAGGGGTGAGTCCAGGCCCAGTCTGGCAGAGAGCCTCCGTTTTTCCAGGCTTGTTGCTGAAGAGAAAGGCAGCTCTCTGCCCTGGCCCTCAGTCACCCCAAAACAGAGCGTTCACCTCCCACTGCTGCAGCAGCTTCACAGGCCTGTTCGGATCAGCAGGAGCGACGAATCTGCACGTGTATTACAGCAGGTGCATGATGCGTCACATTAGCACACTGTTCTCCCACCTAACGCTCAGGTGCATAAGCACTTGCATGAAATATTGATCTATCGACTTTCATCTTGCAGATAAACCTCCACAATTAACTTCTCCGATCTGAGAGTC